CAGATGGAAAACGGTCTGCCAAGAGCTGTGGCATAGATCCTGTAGTGTTCTCTGAAATAAGTTCTCATCAGCTGAGCAACAACTCCTGTGTGGCACAGCAGCCTCCAGGCAGGAATGCCTTGAGGAGGTAAGTGCAGCCATTTTGTGCCACTTGGGTGTGAGCAGAGGTGTCCCAGCCCTGGGGATGTGCAGAGAGCAGCAGGCCGTCTCCCTGCCCTCCTCCTGCCCACAGCAGATCAGTTCTTTCTAATGCAGGGGCTGTGAATTGCAGCTGTGGTAGAAGGTGTTCCGGGTGCTGTGGTTCTGCAGACTTTAATGCCAGCAGCAAGGTCACAGCCACCAGCTATAGCAGTTTGGGGCCCAGCAGCCTTACCCTGACTGCCCTGCTCTGCTCTGTGTGCCCGCCCAGTGGCTGCAGAACGGAGTGCTGTGCTGCACAGCCGTGGGGCTGAATGCAGGGCTGTGGCATTCTTGGGGTCAGGCAGAGCCCTGCAACGTTTGGTCACTTGTACTCCTCCTTTCCAAGGCTCATTTCCAGAAATCAGATTGCCCAAAATATGAGGCCAGTTTTGCCTTACAATCGTTTCTCATTTGACAAATAATCCACAGCAATGTGATGCTGGAGGACCGAATGCATAGCAGATTGTGTCTCCTTATTTTCATGCTGTCTGTCCTTCCTGGAACCCACCCTGCCTTTTCACGTGACCGCTGCCTTTCTCCTGCAGGCTCTCCGGGAACGGCTGGCCGGGTGTGCAACCAGACCTCCCGCGGCATGGACAGCTGTGAGGTGATGTGCTGCGGCCGTGGCTACGACACGTTGCGTGTCAGCAGGATGACCAAGTGCGAGTGCAAATTCCACTGGTGCTGCGCGGTGCGCTGCCAGGACTGCCTGGAGGAGGTGGACATCCACACATGCAAGGCGCCCAAGGCTGCGGGCTGGGCCTCCCGGACATGACGTGTGGTGCAGGTCTGCGCAGGGAATGCTTCTGAGGCCTTTGCTACATTTACGCCAGTTTTGTCTTTCATTACACAGAAGCTGCCCAGTGATCATGCCGAATTTGCAGCGTTCACTGCACGGTTAGCAGGACCATGCTGTTGCACAATTTGTGTGGACCGACGGCTGTGCTGGAAGGAGCTGCCACCACTGGGCCTCCCATCCGACACAGACCCCCGTCTCCTCACCGCAAGCCCTTGCTGCCACCGCAAGCACGGTGGGGCCCCAGGATGAGGCCTATCCTACTGGGCCTCCCGCTGCCATGGCTGTGGCTTCCTCCAGAGGATCTGCTGCTCTGGACGCTCAGCCTGTGAGGCTGCGGGGCTCGGCACTGATCAGGGACCCCTCCATGGAAAGCTCTGAGGCCAGGATGTTTCCACAGCTCTGCTGGAGTTGAATTTGTCCATCTACCCAACACGGAGCTGTGTGTGCGCTGCAGGGCCCTCTGGGGCATGAGCTGTGCTGGGCAGAGACTGGCCCATAGCAAAAAGGAGAGAACAGGAAATGCATTCAACTGCAACAGTCTCATCTGCTATAAAAGAGTGAAAGCAAATGCCTTAGGTATAAATTTGTGACAGTTTGCCTTGAGAGCTTGTTAAAGGTCATTAATATTAACCACTGATCTGAAGGATCAAAGAAAATATCTTTGTTTCTGAGCCCAGTGCCGTCTGGAAACAGGATGCTCAACTACGCAGGGATAGGGTTTCCTATTTGTCATTTACATAATAAACAGGAAAACATGCAGAAAGCTGGTGGAGAAGGCAATGCCTTATCTTAATAATTGGGTTTTGTTCTGTAGAGTCTATCAGCTCTCACGTTGTTTTAAATTTAATAAACCTATTCAGTATGCTTAAACTGATACTTACAGTTCAGGTGCAGTGAGGCTTGCTCCAAATCCACCCTACACAAACCCACAGCTGATGAGGAGCACGCTGGCCTTTGATGGTGGCAGTGGCAGACTGCCTGGGCCCATGTCCTGCCTGGCTCAGCACACAAAGCTGAGCCACAGCAGTGGCTGCAGGTGACGAGGCCTTGGGACCATGGCCTTGCTGGAGAGATGCTGGGGGCTGTTGTGGACGGAGATTGTGACTCTGGGTACAAACCGAGCGCTGCTGAGAACAGCCCTGCCAGCTGTGCGAGTGTTACACGCATACATGTGTGCAATGGGATACACGTACCCCAATGTACATCTAAGGTCAGTGGTTATGATATTGGCCTCATTGCTGGAAACTCTTGTTCTAGGTTGGACAAGCAAAATTTCACACCTGATTTTATTTAGAGGTCAGCCCTAAGGAGAACTTTCATTCAGATTTCACTGTGAAATTGAATCTGCATGGAGTTTGTAGTCTGAGCAAAGCCTTACACTTAAAGAACCTAGAAGCAGTACAGTATTATTTGTGTGTGCCACGTGTTCGGAAAGATTCAGGGATCTTCTGAGTGATGTACAAATTCAGCAGGTAATAATGCTGGAAGTATTTTGATATTCTGGAAAAAAGGGCGCCTCAGTTCTGCGAGGGAACTTGTCCTGGGAAGTCAAATAAAAGAGGATGAGATCAGCCTCACCTGCTTCTTAATGTCATCGTTTGGTTCACAGGATCGTTAGGCTAGAAAGGACCTCTAAGAGCATTTGATCCAACCATCCACCTACAACAACAGCAGGAGAATGTACCTGAGTTCTGCAGCCCCATGTAAAGTGTTTCGGGATCATTGTATTAAAGGTGCCAGAAATTTTATTCTGGCAGAAGAAATACTGGGAATCCTGGAGCAAGACTGACACCTTACTGGGAAATGTGGCTTAGATACACATCTTGTTACTTAAGCCCTTATTTCACCTATACAAGAAATGATGTAGAAATTATAGAATCATAGAATGGTTCGGGTTGGAAGGGGCCTTTAAGATCATCTAGTTCCAACCCTCTGCCATAGGCAGGAACACCTGCCCCTAGACAAGGTTGCTCAGAGCCCCCTCCAGCCTGGCCTTGAATGTCTCCAGGGAGGGGGCAAATAATGAATGAATAATGTAATGATGAATTTGCAGATAGAATGACCTTTAAAAACACATTTTCTGACTGCTTTGGGGCTTTTAATTTGCTTTCATCTTAGAGGGTTTTTAAAAGTTCTTGGAAACTGCACTTCCTGAATGCTTGGCACTATGGCTGCTGTCACTGTGTGGGCTGCTCACTCTCATCAGTAGTTCTTCTGCCTCTTCCACAAAGAAAGCACTCCTGGGAGCTTCTGCCATTTCAGATTGGCCAGCAGTCAGAGTGCTCCTCTCTGCACTAAGGCAGAGGCTTCCTTCTGTCAGCAGAAGCGCAGGCTGCATCTCCTGATCTGGGCTGTGCTGAGCTTCCCAGCAGCAGAGCCCCAGGCTGCAGCCTCTGTCCAGTGGCAAAGAACCCCAGTCTGACTGCCTGGTCTCAGCTGCCCACCATTCCAATTACAGCTCAAAAGGTACGTGCCAGATCAAATCCATCGCTCCTTGCTGCTAAGGGAGGTGGATATTAGAGATAGCAGAAATAATCATATCTGACATTTTTGAGTTCTTCTAAGTTCCTGTAGTTCAAGTGAAGGCTCTGATTGTTCATTCCAAGGAGTTAAGCATTCTTTTCTCTCCGTCTGTTACAAATAGTGATTTCCACACAGTCGTTCACATTACCTCTTCCCCTAGCAGCAGGCCAAACCTGTACCTTGATTGCTGGTAAACATCAGCATCTGTACATAGCTACGTAGACACCGATATGCAAACACACTTCTATTAGGACTGTTAATCACAACACTTTCTTCTTCTGAAATGTAGGGCATTATATAAACTAACTCCAAAAGGTTTTGAGAAGGCTGGGATGAGTGACACAAAACCACAGGACAGCTGAGAGCTAACTGAGCACAGCCACCAGAGGCAGACTGTGCCTGCCCCTTCTGATTCCACAGCACTGCTGTGAGATAACAGGTGCATGAATTACCCTTAGTTTTACCACTGTTCGTGTGCAGGTGTGCCTGCTTTGAGGGTGTTCCCTGTGGCTGTTTTAGCAATTCAGATGCAAAACCAAGAATACATGTATCAGACCACATTTCCACATGTTGTCCATGAGCAAACCTCCTCCTGCTATCTCAGGCCACATCTCACATGAAACATTATCCACACTAATTATGACACAGGAGAGGACTGGAGCACCTCTTCTGTGAGGAAAGGTTGAGGGGACTGGGCTTGTTTAGCTTGGAGAAGAAAAGGCTCTGGGAGACCTCATTGTGGCTTTCCAATACTTGAAAGGAGCCTATAAACAGGAGGAGGAACAGTTGTTTACGAGTGTAGATTGTGATAGGACAAGGGGGGATGGTTTTAAACTGAGACAGGGGAGGTTTAGGTTAGATATTAGGAGGAAGTTTTTCACTCAGAGGGTGGTGATGCACTGGAACAGGTTGACCGAAGAGGCTGTGGGTGCCCCATCCTGGAGGCATTCAAGGCCAGGCTGAATGTGGCTCTGGGCATCCTGGTCTGGTGGTTGGTGACCCTGCACACAGCAGGGGGGTTGAAATTAGATGAGCGTTGTGGTCCTTTTCAACCCAGGGCATTCTATGATTCTATGACATCACAGCAAACTACTTTGCAGCCAGCCATGGGGCTCTCTGCCTTCTGTGCTCTTCCCAAATCTCACTCTCACAGCCAGTTTCTCCTGGCACGGGGCTGCCATGTTTCTCACCATACAGCAGTGTTTGCTTTAACACAGCTCGCTTGGCCAAAAGCCTTTCTCCTGTGTAGATTAGAGAATGTGTGATCAAAGGGCAAAAATAATGCAACCATTAAGGAACACTCTCCTTTTACACCAACTCCAGCAATGGGAGTTTCATCTTTGCTCTTATTGACAAACGAACATATCTCAGTGCCTTAAACTGTGAATAGTAAGTGCTTTCTCATTAACTGAGTTGTGGTGAAGCAGATGCTCCAGACACACTCAAGCACACAAAGCACAGTGTGAGCTTTGAAGAAGAAGCCAAAAGACAGCAATGCTGCAATACACAAAAGTTTATTTTTGTCTTTTCTGAAGGCAAAATATAATAGAACCTAACATCAATGAATTTTGTACAACGAAACAGTTTTTATATGAGAACAGACAATCCATGAAGATTTTTTCAGTCTTAGAACTGCTTCCCTTTTTTATCATGCTTTCTTGTGGTCAACCAAATGTTGGCACAGCAGATGTCGTGGCAGTCAGTCAGCGGCTGCTCCCTCAGATCCTCGTCAGCTGGTGCCACAGGCTGGAGGGCAGGATGCTTTCTACTTTCTCCATCACAAAATTCAAAGGGGCAAAGAGGGTGCTGAGAAACTGCAAAGAAAGCAGACACGCATTCAGATCAAAATCCTGGAGACAATACTCAATGCAAAGCTGTCCAACACGACAAGCTCTTGCTGTTTGCTTCTGTAAAACCCTCTAAGCATGATCAAAATTAAGTAATTCAAGCATAAAGCCCTTATGCCAAATTCTGAGCCTTGTGCATCCCCAGATTTCTTGGTTTTGCAACCAGGCAAGAGAGACTCCATTTTTACAAAACTTAAAGCACTGAACTACAAAAGTCCCCCACATCTCCCATCCCAGGCTCAGGCTCACACTGAAACAACTGAAAACTCAACCCCAAACCAACTGAAGCATGAGAGAAAGGCTCTCCCATCACTGCAGAATTTGTCATGACCTGCCACAGACAAAATGTGCGTCTTCAGGTTTGAAATGGTTCTCTGAGGTGTCATTAACTAGGATTCATCTCCATGTCCTCCTCCTACTGTGGCGCAGTCAGTAACGGAAGAAATTTTAATACATGAATATCACGACAGACATGACAAAATCAAATTAATAAAGACCAGTTTAGCACGGGAAAAAAAAATATTGCAAATTGTGCACCTGAGAACAGAAGTAGTCACATACAGCTATTCTGGGGCTCTGTGTAGGCACAGGAGCATACAATAATATGCAATGTTGACCACCTTGAGAATGAGCAAAGGCCAGTGTCAGCTCCCAGCACTCAGTCACCAGAACTGGTGACTGTGAAATACCGTAAATTGAGTTTTTGTGAAATGCAGTAAGCACCAATTTGCTGTAAAATAAGCCTGGAGTGTGATGATGATATTACTTCTGTGAAATGCTTTTGAGATTGGCCAGCATAAGAGAAAGAATAATTTTGAGCTACTAAAACACAGTTTAATGCTGTCTGTGATATACCAGATAGCAGTGAATACCAAGCATACTGGAATAGGTACCTCAGTGCTCATAACCACAGCAATAGCCAACAAATAGCTCCTCTTTTAGTTAGAAAACCAGTTACTTATGAAACTACCTTCCTTAAAACTGAAAGGGAAGAGCCTCAGCTGGCAAACCCTGTTATTCTGTTCTGATACAACTGCATTTCAAAGAGATATCTGCCATGACTTTCTGCAATCTCATGTCCCTCAGCTGCTTTTCCCAGAGCAGACAGCACTGTGAGCCTTTCCGAATTAAAGTCTTTTTGTGAGTCACTGAGTGAATGTCACATGCTCTTCCTAGGTAAAAGAAAAGCTAATCTGCTGTTTGTGGTGATTTTTGAGGATGGAGATCCACCTAAATCCAGTCACTATAGCTGCTAACTGACATAGCAACTGTGTCAATGCAGGTTCAGAGATCTTCGGTAATCTGGTAATTTTACACACACAGTGCAGCCCATGCTTTGATTCTGTCTGTGCTTACGTTACTAGTCAGAAGCTTTATATGCTCTGATAGGCAAAGCTTAACAGTCACATACAGAGTCTTGTGGTATCTGTTCTGTTAATATCAATGGCAGCTGTTCCATACACAAATGAAGAGAGTCTTCTAGTCTTTTTCTAGTCTGACTCTACCCCTGAAATGGCTTTGGAGCTTGCAGGCTTCACACAATTCAGAATCAATAGCTAGCACAGCACCAGCGTCACTTCTCATACCTCTGTCTGGTTGCACTCAGCGACCACAGGCAGGTGAGTCAAGTTCACACAAACACACTGCCAAGTTTTGTCTGTTCCGGTAGCCTACAACTGCCTGTTGTAGGCACATGAAGTGCAAAACCTCATCACGCTGCCAGTTTGACACACAGCCCTTGATTCAGGACACAGGGCTGAAAAGTTCAGGGACAACTGCAACAGGCCATCAACTGCCAATCTCAGAAAACTGAAGATTACATGGAAAGGGCCCTCAAACGGGTCACGCATTGCAAAGACTCAAGGAGAGGAAAAAAAAAGCTTAACAAAGAAGTTTAAGAACATATGCCTGAATTTCATACTTACTGTCCACCAAGTGCATACATACACATTTAAGAAACAGGAGAAAGTAATCATGTTTCAGCCCCGAACCCCACAAAATCAAAAGCACCAGAGACACAAGACCTACATCAGGTACAAATATGTTTGAGAAAATATATTATTGCAGAGGATAATCTGTATTTGTTGAAGGAGGAGACAGAATTTTGACATCCAGCAGCTCTTCAAGAAATTGATGTCTTTTCATATCCTAGAATATCCTACCAGGGCAATGATGTCCTTGGCTTTGCAATGAGAAAAGCATGTCAGCACTATTCATGGCCTTTCCCCCTCAGTCTCCAACTCTTACTAATCCTTGGTGGATTACAAAAGCAGAATTAGCGCACAGTTCCTTGGATGTAGTTAAGAAAAGTTATGAAGGAAATACTGAGATTGCTTTTTTCATGGCAGTTTGGGGAAGGAATGCAAATTTCTCCTCATTAACAACACACTGTGTTTCTGCTTATGTGAAGAGTTTTCATTGCACTGGAAAGCATGGCACCTCTACACAAAAGGGGATACTCACTGCTTTTGCGAAGACCCCCATAAGCTCTGGGAACTGATGTGTCAGGAGAGCCAGCATGGCTGTGAAAGAACATAGGCCAGCAGTGAAGAGGATGAAGAAGGGAAGCTCTTTCTTGGGGTAAACTGAAACTTCATGAAATGCTGCAGGAAAAAGAAGGAAGAATGCACTGTATGTAAAAAAAAACCAAACAACATTCTTACCTGGTTTAAACAGCCACAGTCATGACTAACATTATGGGACTGATGTTTTAATTTGGAAAGCCTATTAGATCTCAGTTTCTCACTGTCCTTTTAATTGAATGCAATTAAAGGCTGTGGACAGGTATGAGGAATCTATTTAACAGGTCTGTATCTGCCACAGTATGTTAAGCCCTTCCCTGCTCAAAGCCAACCATTCTGCAGTGAAATGCATTTCCTGTGCTGCAAGAGCAAAACATGATACTCTGTGTACATTGCTAAAAGAGTCCCTCACTTCTAGAATTTGAAAAAGAAATATGAGTTTTGCAACTAGAAAGAGTGCTGAGCTATTCTGCATGACTTTGTCATTCCTAAATCTCCTGACACTCCACCCTCCCCTGCTCAGTATCCCTCTGAGTAAAGCAGGCAAAACACTCTAGGAGGTGTTGTTATAATTAGGCTGATTATAATGGGGTGGGGAGTCGCTGCTGGTTGCCAAGCGTTTCTGCGTAGTATCAGTGAGAATGAACTGGGAAGGAGAGCCTCGGAGTGGGTGGATTTCAGCCCTGTTCCTCTCACCTTGCCTGTACTCAGACAGGCTCATTAAAAGTGGCAACACATTTTTTAGCCCAAAGCAGAGAGGTTATGACTGAAGGACGACTAAGAGTGCAAATGCCCTCAAAATCGGTGCTCACGGCAGAAGCAGACTTTCACTTTTTGTTAGAAGAATCTTTCTCTGTATCGATTCACCCCAGCAGAGAATGCGAGTGAGGAATCTCCTTCCTTGGATCAAGTCATATTTATCCCCTCTGCCCTTGTGCGTGTCCCATGTGTGCTCACACAAAGTCCCACTGACTTCAGTGAGAAAACATGTGGGAATGAAGTGTAACTGTTTGCAAGGACTGCTTCGTCTCTTCTTCTGCATTCCTGCACTTCACTGCAAGCACTGCAAATAGTTCCATTAGCTTGCTCTGAAACACTTGCTGAGGGCTGGGCCTGTCTTTATAGCCATATCTAGTTGAGCACGGGGAACTCTGCTGGCACGCTGCTAATACATGCCACAAATGTATACGATAAATGACTGAGGTAATTTCAGTCTCTTTAGAATGGCACACACATCACTACACATGGAGAATCCTTTCTTGTTATTTCGGATTGCTTTTCAGAAGATGTCAAAATAATTTGTCAGAGTAACAGCCGTGCTAATGATCTGGCAGTCCAAAGACAGGCTGGATCTTGCCTTGGAATGTAAGTAGCTAATTTGACTGCACAAAACTAACACCGCTGTGCAGCCGTGCTCTTGGTCTGATGTGGTGTTTCCTAGGTAAATGATCAGACATATTTTCTACCGTCTTGGGAAGAGAGAATTAGCAAGATCTAACAGATACACACCTCCTTGGTAATCTCACTCCCTATCTCCACGCTGCTGACAACACTAAAGATAGCTGATCATTATGACTGATGGCCTGAAACTGCCTTTTAAACAACTGTGAGCTCCAGAGGTTTGCTGTCACCTGATTGCTCTACTTCCCACTTGAAAATCATTGGGAGCAATCAGTAGTGCGTGATTCAGATGAACAATTCCTTGGTGTCAGTGATAAGAAAAGTTGAACGTACACGGTAGTAGTTCTCTATCTGCAGTTTCTGTACAAATAGGGTAAGGGTAGAAAAGATGTCCTTTTTCCAGTGGATAGGGGATCATTCTGAAAGCTGGAAAGAAAACACTGTGCATTAATGACTGTGATTGTGGTACTCACTGGAGACATGTAATTGTCATTACACTTTTGAAGAACAAGCAGAAAAAAATTATATTTGGTTGCAACCAGTATATATATTGCTTAGCTAAATGTCAGAAAGCTTTTAATCCTGAAGACACAATTCCTTTATTCTTGGCAGTGTAAAGTAAGACCATGTTACAGGTGCATAAATACATGTTTGTAAGATATTAGCCCAATACACTTAAAATCCTATAGGAAAATGTACAGATTTTGTCATAGAATTTCAAGCAAGACAGGTAATACCGATCAGACAAGCCCAGGGAAACAGCTTTCCAACGCAGTCATGTTTCCATTTTATATTTGGCAATCAAAGATTAATGCTGAATTATTAAAACCAGGTTCCTCAAACGCATTCTGACCAGATAAAGTCAGGTTTCTGATATAAATCTTCAGGTCATGGACAAAACAATACTTAATCTTATAAACTTTTAAAATTGAAAATAATAACAGAGAGGGAGGGAAAGGCATTACTCAGTCTGGCCTGTGATGATGTCATGGGCCATCTGAGTGATGCTCGTGTGGTTTATGGAAACATCTATACTGACTGAATTACAGCTCTGCAATCAATGCATCCCTTTCCATTATCCGATATATAAATCTCACTCTTAAAGTGTAACTGATGTGTTTTTCTCACTATTCCTATGAACATCAGTCACTGCAGAAATATTTTCCTCAGCAAATGTCCTAGAAGCACTGTATAGTTATTAGGTACAGCAACCCCTACATGATAATATTGCTCACAAGACAACAGAAGAATTAGTTTAAAATACATAAACCCCCAATGTTTTCAGTTGTGCATGTGGCATCTGAAATAACACTAGCCATAATTTTTTTTGATAACTGTTTAAAGCAGGAGGAAAGAAGGCAGAAATCCTCAGAGCACAGTTACAGTATGCCAGTGCATCTCCAGCTGGCACATGGCATTCTTGTATTTGAATACGACTGAATATTGTTATAAAATAAAAGCATCATGCTTCCAATTTCAATATTTGGATTGGAGCCAATCTATACGACAGGTGTACGACTCAAATCAACATCAGCCACTGCTCTGTGGGAGACTATTGAGATAGATCTTAACACATTTTTGCCTGTTGTCAGAAACTTCTTAAACTGAGATAGAAAACTAAAGATACGCTGTTCCTTAGCTCTCAGTAAGTGGAAGATTCATGCTTCTAATTGCTTGTGTGGAATAAAACTACCTACCTAATAATGTTTTTTCAACAAGAAGTGCAAAATACTGTTGAATTATGAGACTCTCTTTGAAAGCACCTACAAGCTCTCCATGTAGCTAGTGAGTAGCTGTGAAGCTAGCGCGATCTTCTTTACTGTTAGAACATGACCTTGCTAGAGGCTGCCTTAATTAGGAGTGACCTCCCATAAGGGGTCACCTTAGCAGCACTCATAATGTACCCCTAAGTGACTGATTGGCTTAAAGACAGCACTTAGTTCTACCTGATTTCTACAAGGTTAGAACTGAAGAGTACATACATATGGGCATTAACTTCCTACACACAGGCTGCTGAAGTGAAACTGGTGAATACATTCAGAACAGCTCAATTTAAAGACATGACAAGCACATGAACACCTAGAAAGAATGTGATGGCAACTGACCATATATGGCAGGCTGTTGGTACAAACATGTGCTTAATTAAATTCATTTCCTCTGTCATTTTCCACTGGATTTAGCTTAGAATCAGACAGAGATAATAAGGAAATCTTTGTCAAGGAAAGGACGTAAGAGTGACATAAATAGCTTAGTATATCCTTGAATATATTACTTATTTACATATTACTCATATTAAGATATGAACCGAAAGTTATAATTATTTGATTAAATCTGAGTGAAAACTTTAAATCCATGGTCATTTTCATGCATGAGGGAAACCTGAAAAACAGTCTTAAGGACGTCTCTCGCTGAAATTACTGTGCAAAAAAAATTATGGATTTTTCTTCACAGGTTATGCAATAACAGTAATTTACATCTCGCAGGCTAGCTAATAGACAAATATTTCATAATGAATTACATATTCAGATTGCTGAGGCAATGAAGAGAGGAATCAGTTTGAACAGTTAGATGGAAGGCCTTCAGGCACAGATGACAAGAGCTCGTACTTGGCAGGATAACTGCAATGTAACCAGCCTCCAGTGCCAAAAGCTGCTCCTGTAAGCTACCCCTTAGGCACTCCTCAGTTTAACAAAGGTCTATTCCCACCAGCACTGGGAAGCAGTGTGCCCAGGTGGCCAAGGCCAATGGCATCCTGGCTTGTATCAGGAATGGTACTGTGAGCAGGACTAGGGAAGTCATCCTGCCCCTGTTCTCTGCACTGGTGAGGCCTCACCTTGAGGACTGTGTTCAGTTTTGGGCACCTCAGTACAGAAAGGACATGAGGTGCTGGAGCAGGTCCAAAGAAGGGCAACAAGGCTTGTGAAGGGCTTGGAGAATATGGCCTGTGAGAAGAGACTGGAGGAACAGGAGCTATTTAGTCTGGGGAAAAGGAGGCTGAGGGGAGACCTTATTGCTCTCTTCCAATGCCTGAAAGGTGCTTGCAGCGAGAGTGGGGTTGTTCTCTTCTCACTGGTGACAAGTGACAGAACAAGGGGAAATGGCTTCAAATTGTGCCAGGGTAAGTTTAGGTTGGATATCAGGAACCTTCTCTACTGAAAGGGTTGCTAAGCACTGGAATAGGCTCCCCAGGGAGGTGGTTGAGTCACCATCCCTGGATGTGTGCTCTGGACGTGGTGCTCAGGGACGTGATTTAGTGGAGGGTTGTTAGGGTAGTAAGGTTAGGTTGTGGTTGGACTCAATGATCTTTAAGGTCTTTTCCAACCTGAGCAATTCTATGATTCTATGATTCTATTCAGGATTCCCTCTAAAATACTGTTCAATAACGATGGCATAACAAGGTGTTGGGCTAAAGAATTTCTGTAAGCATCTGGAAAAGAAGTAATACCACAGAAGGATTGCTAGTGAAAAAAAGCACAGGGAAGGAAGCCGTGACAACTTTTAAGTTGCATTTCAAGTGGTAACTTCCTTTCAGTGGGAATTATCATGGTGACAAACTGTATCTTTCTAAGAAACTGAAATGAGAATAGCAAATGGAGGAAGGAAAAAACAGTTGTGTAATAACATATGAAAAAGCTGAAAGAAAGCAGTGGAAAGTGCAGCAGAAACAAATGGATTGGATTAGGGAACGAACAATCAGCATTAAAAAAGCCTACAAAGGCTGACTCTAAATAGTAGCTTTTAATTCCCTGGAACCTGAAAAGAACATGTCTAAAAGACAAGGATTAGATCTGACCAAAGGTCACACTCCAACTTCTTACTCATAGCAGGGTGATCTTCTAAAGCTGATCTGGCTGCTCAGGGCGATGTCCAGCTGAGCTCTGAGTATCTCCAGAGATGGACATCCCACCACCTATCTGCAACCTCTTCCAATCCATCACCACTTTTATTCTAAAAATACTTTTCTCATGTTTAGATGAAATTTCTTGTGCCAAAACTCGTGTCTACTGCCTCCTGTCTTTCCTTGTGCCCTTGTGACTTTGACTCCACCTTCCATGCTATCCCTATCAGGTGGTTAAAGACACAGTTAGACCCCCCTTCAACTACAGGAAGTCTCTTCCAAGCTGGCTAAAAACAGCTCCCTCAATGTCTTTCCTATGTCAGCTTCCCAGGCATTCTAGTTGTCTTCCACTGGACTCACTCTATTTAAAGAGAAAAGAAATCAGAAAATACCATCTTGTTTTATACTACACATTGGTCTTTATTTGCTTGTAAGGCACGTCCATAATTTGCCAAAATCAAAATTAGTGACAAACAAATTCCTGCAACTTCAGGATGAGGAAGGTAAGTTATTAAGCCCTTATTCATGAGTAAAAAATTATGTCACAAAGAAGATGGGAAAATATGTTTGGTGTTACACAAAAAACAGAATCCAAGACTTCAGAAACTTTTTTCCCATTAAATGAGGCATTTCTGATTGAATTTCAAATATTTCAGTGTTAGTGAAATATAACCGACCTGCAAATCCTCCTCATTCTATGCTTTACAAAATGCTTTTATTTTCTCATGACATTCAATCAAAATAATTGATCAGCTTCTTTGTAAGAAAAAGGATTACTTACTGCCTTCCCATGTACAGTGTAAGAGATTCAATGCTCCCTCTACCCTTTTCCAGTGTTGAAGATGAAAGAAAGCATATGCTATTGCTTCACTGTCCCCTCTCTTCAGAATATGTTCGGGGGGCAGAATTAAGCTTTTCATTTCTAGGAGGTACTGCAATAAAAAAGCAGAGGACAGTTATTTCAGAAGTAATAAAAAAGCTGCCTGCAATTCTACAGCGAGTACTGAAAGGTCTGTTTCCCTGAAGTGCTTCATTTCATAAGCGTTTCATCAGATGCGTAACATCACCAACTGCACTAGCAGATAATTACTGAATTATTGCCAAAGCATGCGATATACTGACAGATGGCTCATGTTGTGCTCTTCAGCTGGAGTGGGAGGACTGTGGAGGATTTCAAAACGAAATGTCTCTCTTATCAAAGGGGCAGAAAAAGAAATAAGCTCAAAGCAGAAAAGAGGCTCTAATTACAAGAGCTCTTTAAATTAGAAGCATTTATAATATATTGAAGAAGACATTAAGCAGTTTGAAGCTCCTCGCCCTTCTCTGAGGAAACAGGCAGTACTTTGCACACAGGCTGCTTTAATGCATTGCCATCATCAGGTTACCAGGCCTGCAAGTGCACAAGGTGAGCGGACAGCAGGGCTACCAGCATTTTACAAAGTAACACCATTTACTTCCAACACAATGGAACAAATATCAGATTTCCAGGAAAAAAAATAAATACAGCAGTCCTTGATGTTTAAGTTAGCTAACCAAAACACTGAAAACAAAAAGTGAAAATGAAATGCACCAGTGACCAAACCCACAAACAATTCTCCCCGTTACAGGATCCCCTAAAACAGCAGGTGAATGAAGTACAAGTGGGATTCATGCCATAAGACAGAGCTCCTGAATGTTCTTCAAGCAGGTGACTTTCCTCCTTCCCTGCCCCGCCAGTCAGACTGCTGCCAGGTCAGAATTCACCTCACTGCTGGTGTTTCTTCCTTCCTGCTAATGGAGGGGAAAGATAGAATGGAGGGGAACAGACACATCTTGTTTTGGCATGCTTTAAAGGGGAAAGAATGACAGACAGAAATTGGAGGCTGCTGAATCAATCGCTGTCTGTCAGTTCTCCTCTATGAAGCAGAATATTTCCCACCTTTGCAGTACTTTTTCTCCAGGAAAACTGTTGCTCTCTTCCAGGACTCCCTAAAGCAAATATTCTGCCCACTACTATTTAATACTAGGCTATTTAAAGGCCATTTAATACAAAAGGCAACAAGAAGCAGGTGGGTCACACACCACATGGGCAGACCCTGACATGGAGATGGGATGAATTACAGGAGACTGACTGTGGCAGAAAGAAGGATTACAGAGAAAGGAGGGAGATGAGATGGCTCCTTTGGCCACTAGGATAAAGGTATAAGGCTGCAGCACTTCTGGGGAAAAAAATCTACAATATTTACTGACAGGCTGGCTGTTTTGGAGTAGAAAAATGGAGTTAAAGATGAGGAAAAGGCTGCAGATTTTAGACAGGGATTGGCAAAATTAAAAGAAGGTATGAAAGAAAAGGTATGGACAATCACTAGCAAAAAGAGAATAAGCATGCAGCCCCTCTACTTTAGAGAGGTCTTTCTGTCTACATACTGGTCTCTGCCTTGGATGGGAAGAATGAGGGCTGCAGAATCTAAGGACTGCCAAGAACTGAGCACAGGCTGGAAGGCAACTTGGCACACAGAAGTGACAGTAAACTTTTCACACTGCTGTCAGATACAGATTTGTGAATGGGAGACTCCAGGGCATCCTTGCACACTGGCTCTGTGATGTGTGAAAGAGGAGAAAAGGAGAAAGGGAACAAATGAGAATTCAAAATCATCCTTGAAAAAAGGAAGAGGAAAGGCCAGAGGGGGCTGAGAATCAAGTTGGCGTGATGTCATGGAGGGCATCCTAAAACTAGACTCCTCTCTGCCAGAAGCCAGGAAGGAGCTGGAGAAACAGGCTCAAGATCTGAAGGGAACAAGATCAAAGCTGAGAACTAACTGACAGCACCAGGAAACAAGTAAGTGATTCAAAGAGGAAAGAAAAATCACACATTTCTGATGCAGGTTATTATTAAAGGAGGGCAAACTAAATTAGCAGTGGGAGTAACATGTGTGATACCTCAACTTTCTATAAAGCCTTTCAGAAAAAAATTGGGAAATCTGTAGAACAGGTAGGAGAAGATGCAATTCAGTAGGCAGGGCAGTATAAGAAGGGATTAACAGAGGAAGAAAGAATGGTATAAAAATCTGATGTGAGGAAAGGAGCTGCCAAGCTTACAGATATACAGAAAATTTTCTTATTTGCTGCCTACATGACCTTGCCACCCTTTTAAAATCCCATGCCTACTTGTTGACCAGAATGGAATATGGCTGCAGAACTGATATCTGTTCTATTAATTTAGAACAGAACTCTCAATTCTGTATTTTCTTGCAAGAGTAAGTGAGAAGTTTTCAATATTTAAATATCTCAGTCAAAGGAAGAGAAAACAACATAAAAGCCATGAAAATATTTATAAGGAAAAAGCAGGAATGAATGTCCTACCTTGAGGAGTGTTAATGCAAACATGCAGATTTTGTTGTAACACACTGCTTGTTATTAGTGATCAGTGATCAGCACCTAGCTAGACTGATCATTAAGAAGGAGATATGACTGCCCATAAAAATGAATTGATTTTATATTCTAGAGTATGTCATCAATTCCTGTGTTGCTGTGTTTTTAAGGAGAATTCATGGGCATTGAGAGCCCTTTCAGCAGTAAATTGGCTTTTTACAGCGCATTTCTGAAGGCTCTGTCCAGAGCACAGACTTACAGGAACTAGGTTTCTATAGTGGTATAGGTACAAGAACTTAGCATACAGATAAAAGCCATAGCAGTAAGAAATCCACTGGGCCTTACAAGGAGACCACCAACACTCTGGATAGATTCCTCACTGAGCTGTGCCTGCTGATACACTGACTTGTGAACACAACCATGATCTTCACATTTTAAGCAATAAAACGTTACGACATCTTCAATACTTTGAGTACACAGGGAAGACAGGAAACTTCTGTTGTCCTGACATGGCTCTGAACCCAAGTGTGGTTCCTGTGTTGAGGAAGCATTAAGCAATAGGCTAAGAGAGAAACTTTGCAAAGAGCTCTCAGCATAAAGGGAGCATGGAGAAGGCAAGCCCTGCACATCTCCATCTGCGCTTCTTTTCAGTGACAAAGGAAGAAGCTTAATTAGAACAGGAAATAATGCACATTATCATCATTACAGAGTTATCATTTTCCTTTAAAAAAGGAATGAGCTCAGAGAAGACAATTGATAAAAGCCAGAACAATCTAGCCTTAACCAAAATGTGAGTTAATACTTGTGGTGCCCAACTATTTCTGTCACCATCAGATGTCACCCAGCCCTTCTCCCCCACACTGTGCTGGTTTGGATTTTGTGACTCTTCTTCGTTTTTTCCTGCACTTTCTTTTCCCACTCCAAGCTTCTCCTGTCACAAAGCTGTCAGTTAGGAATTAAAAGGGGAACAGTATTTTTCACGTAGCTTCTGGGCAGGTTACTTGACACTGTAAAAGCAAAAACATGAACCAAAGTGTTCAACTATAGCTAGTCTGGGCACAAGTGGGAATATACCTTTTAATGAGCCTTGGGAGGATGACAGTGGAAGCTAATTTCATTGCTATAATGCCTATAGGTACAAACATCGTGATAGCACTCTGCTAGCACTTTCTTGTCTGTGTGAAGGGTAATAAGGTGGAGTTCGTATTTTCTTACTTGAATTGACTGAATACACATTATTTGTTTCATAATATTGACTGCACTCTCGCTATTTCTCTGCTGGGACTGCCTTTAACATTCCAAATTAACAAGCTACTTCAGCGCCCATTTATAAAATAAATCTATATAAAAGAAATCAATCTAAGGAAGGTTTTTCCTCAGTCCTGCATCTTGCCTCTGAAATTATAGCTCAGGCTGTAAATAGGCAATAGTCACTCCTGCACCTGTGACAGCAGCCCTCCAGGCCAGAACACGAGAATTTAACATTGTTTGAACAGGAACTCTCTTCCTCCCTTTGGGATGAACAGCACAAGCTTCATACAGCTCAGAAATACTGGATTCTACATGCCCAGAGAAGCCAATTGTAGGTCACACAGCAAGTTCACATTGGATTGATGGTAATTAACAAGACTGGCCTTTTTACTGGAGATACAAAAACAAATCACTGTCTCACTGAACAGTTACAACCCCTCTTTAAACATATCTGGAATAGTTTCTCTGTAATATCATGGGGTGTGTAGAGTGGATTCCTTTCCCATCTGCTAAATAAATTTGTTTTCATTATTTGTTTCTATTAGCAACTACAACTTACTAGAAACCACAGAGCATTCAAAGACACACAGTCCTCATTACAAATAAAATAAAGAAGGTAAGAAATAAATAATAACGAATGAAAGGGAGAAGAGGTAAATCTTTAGAAGTATTCAAGTTAATGGTTGGTTATATTCTTTTATGAAACACTCTATACACAAAAGTGGCATTTCTTTAAGGAACAGTAACATTTAGACAGTCTGAATCTTCAAATTCAGGCCCTGGTTTACATGGCCACCCCACACAACTGTGTGCAGGGCACAGTTCTGACTCAATTTTAAGAATCATATATACAAACCAACACTTGTTTTCTCTCCCTGCTAGATTCAAAGATCTTATCAATAACACATAAGATTTTTTTTGGTTGGGAGGTGTGAAGGGAGTTGTAAAGATGAGCTTGAGAGAAGGGAGCCCAGCAAATCAACTGAGGAAGGGTGTTCCAGTAGTGAGAAACATCTCATAAACAGCTGTTGTATTTTATTAGCATTTACTTGGATTGCTGCATTACAAATAAGTGGGGAAGATCCAAACACAACAGATAAATAATGCTGATGAAGTCTTTTCATACACCCCACAGACTATGGACTGCCATGACCCTCTTTTTTCTGCACCCTCTAGAATGGCAATCATACCTCAACTGTGGCACTAAAACCATTTTTTGTTTTACTGTTGATTTTTTCAGCAGCATTGTTGTCAGACACAGTCAGCACATTTCCCTGGGACCAACACTGCCATACAGGATGCTGTACTAAAGCAAAGGTATCCCAGACTACAGAATCTCTCTTAAGACAGAAATGGATGGAAATCAGACAAGTAAGCAATACAATTTGGTATGATTCTTCTCTTAGTGGAAATCAAAGCTCTCTGCTTTGTTATCTTTCCTGCTGTACTGCTGACTTATATTGGCTATTGATATGCTTTTCTTCCACTAAAATGAATCCTGAAAATATTCTTCCTGGTTAACTGCTTACTGTTTAGAAAGTTAACATCTGCCATGGTATAAAAGTGCATTTTGCTGAAGCTGAGCTGTTTCAGCAACATAAACAAGACAACCTCCAGAGACAGAGGCAGTATCTTTCATCAGGTCAGCCAGGTCAGCTGCCCGGCTTCCGAGATGCATGTGGTAAATTGCTCTGAGCTCTGTATTGCCTTGGTTCACCCAAAAACCCATTGCCTTCATGTGTCACATCTCGACTCCTGCCTCATTCAAAAACAATGGCCATTGATTAGCTGTAGCTGAGGCTTAATGGACAGATCTCTGGGAATTAAACTGTCATCAAAACATACTTAAAAAAAAGGAAGAGCCCTGTGCCAGAAGAATATTAATTGCTGGAAGGAAGGCTAAAGAAAGGCTTATGCACACGCTGGCCCCTAGACAGAAGATAGGTGGTTTTACAAGGTTGCTTATGTTTCTTATCTCTGTGTAAAGATAAGAATCTGGGACTTAGAAACTCCTTCTTCTCAAAGAGTTCCTGTATCTTCTTTGAACACTTGAAATGAAGTGTAAAAACTAAATCTGACCTCTGCAGTATTGTTATGGAACAATGGACTGGAGTCTGGATGTGCATCTCCTATGGAAAATCAGCAGCACCGCAGGAGTCCAAAGTTTGACAGAAGCCCACAAACCTGCAACAGGCCAGTGGGAGACCTGCTCAGCCTTTGTTGCTAAGCACAGCAACATCTCTCAGTGTGTTCAGGCTGTGTCCCCTGCTCCCTCCTCGTGTCATCATCTCATTAGCAGAAGTCTGCTATTTCCAGTCAAATGGCTCGAAAATGCATATCCAATAACAATCTTTTTTTTCTGTGATAATTCTAAATTTTAATGATTTGCACTGAGAATGGTAAAATTATCTTTTGAGACCATAAATATACCGAAACATTTACATTTTTTTCTATGTAACAGTGTAGCCTCTTTCAAAGATTCTGCTGAGATCTTTGCAAATGCTTTTAATAGTATATCAGTTTTATTACTTATTTATTCCTCAACCTGAACAAGAGACTCATTAGATTTAAATTCTAAAGAAGCTTCTGAAGACACATTAGTTTTGTAGCACTGCTAGATTTTCTGTGATGCTGCTCTCTAAAACTTATTTCCATTTCATTAAAAGCAAAATGGATATGAATTCAACCATAATTGAGTGGAAATTGAGGTGTAATATCCATACTTGGCATAAAATTATAATCACATATATGTTATTGACACCTTAATAGCCTTTAGCTATAAGCAAAGAGAATATGAGTGTTAATATGAGTTATAATAGCCAAGAAAATGAGTGTGAAATTGTTAGTCTGTAATGGGCTACGCTGTTTTAATGTCAAAATATGAACTAAAAAAGCCCAAACTCTGCTGCCATTACTACCTCATTATCCTGATAATTTATACTTTTCACTATGGTTTTTAATTTCCAAGTAACTGACTTTGAAATTCAAACTGAAGGAATCAATTAACAGTGTGAACTAGACTGAGAACTTAAATGAGGACTAGAATTTCATTACATTAGAGACAGAGAATAACATGCAGTTTGTATTTCATGTGTGGAGATACTTGTCAGAAAGGGAGTTTCAGTCTTTTATAGAAGCTACCTAGCCAGGTGATGGTAGGTGAGACAAGGGTCACAAGCAATGAGTAAAGCACTGATCTGCAAGCACAGCAGCATGTTACAGGGGTGGAAGTGCAGAGATAATGGAGCAGCTGCCACAACTTACAGTAGGTTACATTTTGCAATGGAAATCAAGCCAAAGAAAAGAATGCACAAGTACAAACAAAAAAAGAACAAGCAAAAAAGTAGTAAGTGAAGATATAGACTCAGTTTCACAGTAACGTTGAGCAAGGGGACAACAGCAGGCTGGATATTAAGAGCATGTGGAAACCAAAACAGAAGTGGAAACCATTGCAGCCAGTAATCTCCATTCCTGAGCAGTGAAAGAATTGGCCCAGGAAACTGCCAGATTTGCATTACAAACTTAAAACAAAGATCCATTCAGCATCAAGTGATCCAGTAGTGAGAATAATAAATGGAGTACCACTTATTTAATGAAGGGAAACAATGTGGATGCAATAAAATAGCCTTTGAAGGAAAAAATAAAAAAGATCAGAAGCAAGGAGATAAGTACAGAAAACAGAACAGGCTCTCTTGTCACAGAGCCTGTGACAAGCAAAACTGCTTGCTTGGCAAGATACCTGTTTTTTTAGACAACAAGGATGTAACTCTCTAACTGGGCTTCAGTAAAGCATTTTAAAAGTTTCATGCATAACAAGATTAGAATAGAGAAGTAAACAGATGAACAAGTAGAAGAGAATATTAATGGCTGTGTTGGTGCAAGAACCATTGGGATGAAAGAAGGTGAAGAGTTCCACAGGAGCAATAATCTTGGGATCAAACTTCAATGTTTTCATTGTATAGCTTGGCACAAAGAATATCAGCCAATAATACAAAGAACTCACATAAATCTTGCTGTTTGGAGATCAGGATCTTACTGGAAAATAGTTGCTTCTTTCATAGCCAGTGCAGAAACAGGTACTTTGGAGAGAAAGTCTACCTAGAGATATCTAACACAGTCCCTTCTTACCACACTGTCTGTAGAGAATGTCTAGGTGACTTCATTAAGTGGCCTAACTTTCTGACAGCTGAACTATGCTACTTAGTGGATGGCATAACAGATACATGTTACAGAGAAAATAATTCCTGAAATCCATGAGAAAAAAAACTATATATGTGTACACATGGGAGAAATTCAGAGTTTAGCTTGACCAGACTTGGTGTTCAACTCTAGCTAATTAAGGGGTGCTCTATATAAAGATAATCCAGTCTTCTGCTCTCCAGCAAGGCTGCTTGCTTTCACAGGGCAATATGGTTCAAATAAGCTTTGCAGGGTGAGGTTCAGTGATTCAAGGGCCAAAAAACATCTGCCTCTAGTTTGCCTTTACAATGAACTTCCAGACTGCAATATTGAGTATCAGGTGAAAAACAATAAAGTACATTAGCTTTTGGTAGCCACAGGCAAGATTCTTACTGCTGAGATACATATCTAGGGAGAGAATTATGAAATTACAACATAAATCCATTTTCTTACTGAACTCTGTAGTTCTCAGTGATTTTTCATCTCTGACCTGTGTGTTCTCAGAGCTTAATCACAGAATCACAGAACTGTAGGGGTTGGAAGGGACCTCCAGAGATCATCGAGTCCAACCCCCCTGCCAAAGCAGGTTCCCTACAGCAGGTCGCACAGGTAGGCATCCTGGCAGGTCTTGAACATCTCCAGAGAAGGAGACTCCACCACCTCCCTGGGCAGCCTGTTCCAGTGCTCCGTCACCTCACTGTAAAGAAGTTCTTGCGCACATTCATGCAGAACTTCCTATGCTGCAGTTTCCAGCCGTTTCCCCTTGTCCTGTCTCCACTCACCACTGAAAAGAATCCGGCCTCGCCATTCTGCCCCCCACACCTTAGATATTTATAGACCTGGATCAGATCCCCTCTCAGTCTTCTTTTCTCAAGGCTGAACAGACCCAGTTCACTCAGCCTTTCTTCATAGGAGAGATGCTCCAGGCCCTTCACCATCTTCGTGGCCCTCCGCTGGACTCTTTCCAAGAGATCCCTGTCTTTTTTGTACTGGGGAGCCCAGAACTGGATGCAGTACTGCAGATGAGGCCTCACCAGGGCAGAGTAGAGGGGGAGGATCACCTCCCTCGACCTGCTGGCCACGCTCTTTTTAATGCACCCCAGTAAGCCATTGGCCTTTTTGGCCACAAGGGCACACTGCTGGCTCATGGCCAACCTGTCGTCCACCAGGACAGGTACTACATAAGGAATAACTAATGTAACTTACTAATGTAATTTGAAGCATACTACAAACCCTAAAATAAGCTTTTCGTACAGCATATAAAAATATATTCTTTTAGGTAGCCATCAAAACAAAAAATGACTCTATTTTACACTAGAAGATTTTTCATGGCTTTTGTGTAAAGAATCATCTGTCCCTATGTGTTCTGCTCTGCAGCACAACATTTGGTGGTATCTACTACTACAACTCAGTATACAACTCTTGGTCACAAAGAAGATTCACTTCAGCTAAAATTTCAAGTTTCAAGGTCCACAGTAGAAGAAACTTCAAGGTAGAAAACCAGAAAAAAACCACACTGATCATCTTATTTGCCCTCCCGCTTGTTTCCCCCCCTTTCCACTAGATCACTTGATAATCTACTGCAATAAGACAGGAGATAGGATCTCAGCAGTTTTAAAGCTTCAACAGTGCTTTCTCCATACTCACTTTTGGCACATGTGGATTAAATTCTACTGCTCTGTGAATAGCTTCTACTGCATTCATCTCTGCAGTACTCAGCCCTCGCCTTGAGGCAGCCTCTGGAGAAAATCTAGAAAAGCAAAGAAGAAAACATTGGGTCAGAAATGCTGGTAGGAAAAGGACAGAAAAGGAATTAGACCATGGGCCCATACAAGCAAACTGAATCAATTTCCTGGGCTCTCCAAATTTCTACAGTAAGTGGAAACTAAACGATCTGTTATGTCAAGGACAATGAAAATCCCAGCAGAAGTGGAAAGCATGTTTGTAGCTAGTCATGGCAGGAAGTCAGTTGAAACAGTCAGTTCTTTCTCTGTCACTAATCTAAATTCACTCTAGGTACCTTTTCTAAGGGGCATATTCAAGACTGAAGTTGCAGAAAAAAATAAAAGTGAAAAAACCCAATGCCAAATCATTGTTGGAGGGTTTCTATTAAAAACAGGTTTGGGGAGGTTTGAGGGAGGTCCCAACCCAATGCCCCTGGGTCAGGTTGGGATGGAAGCACGATGCAGCAGCAGTAGCAGGTGGTCTACTGGCCGCAGCACCATTGAAGGTAGCATGCCCAAACTGTGGGCGAATCATCTGCCCCAGTGAATGAAAAACCAGACCATGCAATCTCTTTCTCACCTCACACCCCACGGCTAACTCCAGAGCTGTACTTGGCAGGCAGACACCACAGGGAAAGCTGTGACAACCTTAGCCCTGCCCTCCCAAGCTGGAGTCGCTGTGTAGGGAGGAAAGATGTTGCAGTAGGTACTGGCGATCTACAGGATAAAAAGAATGAAAGAAAATTACTTAGATCTTGATGTGTACATACACTTTAAAAGCAAAAACTGTCAGGATGTCAGTCAAGAAAATGGCTTTCCACTCTACTTGCTTTCCAACTTTAGGGAGGCATTCTGACCCTCAGGTGCACAGACACAACTCCTGCCTGGGATTTGTGTGAAGGCATCTGAGAGCAGAATTGGGATTTTTGAGCTCCATCTCACAAAGAGCTGAGCACACTTTTGGAACGGGCTGGTGCTCTCAAGTCCACAGGCAAAAAGTAGATGTGCTCAGCACCTTGGAAGGTTGAGACCCAAGAGATAACCATAACAGGAATGAGCAGATATTTGTGTGTCTAAAAATATGAACAACTTCTACCTCTCAGAATCCCTGACATGGTAATGCTAAATGCACCTGCCACTATCTAAGCAGTCTTCTGACAGCTTTTGTAAAATGACGTTATTGTCAGTGTATCCACATTTATTTATTACCTTTTTGGGATCAGGTTTATGGAAAGTTGAAGATGTTCAGCCACACAGCACCTTTAGTTGAATTTTCATATATTGACTAGAAAGCCAAGGCACACCCACCACAGCATCTTTTAGTTGTATATTCATTATACTACCTAGGAAGCTAAAGCTCACCCAGGTAGTATATACAGAAGTGAAACACGAAGGCTATTCCTCTTCTTTTCTTCTTCTCTAATATTTGAAGTGCAATGTTTATTCAATGCATCTTTTTTTCAGATATAAACCAATTTTATAAATTTCTGCAGGACTGAACTATCCTGCTTACTCAGCAGATTGTCAGGGTGTGGGCTCAGCTAAGAAAAATCTTGAGTTAAATCAGGAATTTCGCTGGAGAGTGGTTCTTATGCACTTACTTGTCAGAGACAGCTCTGGCTTTGAGCAATGCAGCTGTGTAACATATTGTTGCTGATTTTGGTAAGCTTATATCTGTGGAAAAGAAAGAAAAAAGTAAATATCGGAACCCTTAAAAGTCTGCAGACAGAAAAAAGTGTTTGATACTTCAAAGTATGCATGGGATGTACAAAATTATTAAGTGAATTCAGAGTACATTCTGTCCTTGGGACTCGTACTACCATGTTGCATGGATTTCAAACTTCCAACCAAGTTAAATATATACACTTTAAAACTCACAATAGTGAATTGCTATTTAAGTAGCAAAAGAGGCCATAGAGAACTAAATGTCATGTCACAAAGAGTGACATGACAGAGATATAGTGAAAGAATTCATACTCTATTTCATAAACATAAAGGTAACTGGAAAATGTGATTTTTTCCATAGTTTATGAAATATCTAAGAAATACATGAGGGCTCTTTTTTCCCTCCTGTTTTCACCAAGCAGCAGTTGTTTAATACGCATACGTGGCAACTATACAAGTTAATACAGACATCTAAGTGGATTTTACATGCAACTAAAAACTATTAGTTAAAGATCAACAAGAAATAAGGTGTTTTGCCTGTTAAAGAAATTTTGAACAAAAATACTCATCAGACTCTGGCCATTTTATATTGTCCCAGATATGAAAAGCAGCCATAACCCTGACAAAACCCATTAGTACAACTTTATTGATTTATTCTCTACCAGCTGAGTGGCACAAAGCACACAGAGAGTAGTAATCAATACTGCATAATAAATCTTAGCCATATATTTTTTCTTACAGATACGAGAACGATTGTCACACTAATGATCTACCTAACAGACATACTACATGCTGATGAAAATATTCCAGTGTTAAAATGTTAAAGATTATGCTTAAAGGAAACAAAACAAACAAACAATAAAACTCAACGCTTAGAGCTGGATTCTGCACACAGCACACTGTCTACTCAAGTAAAACCCAATTGGGTACTAAGTTATCAGAAGCATTATGCCTAGAAATAGTACTAGAGCTTCCTACAGTAAATACTGAAAACACAAGGCACTGGACTAGGCCAACTGTGAGAGTGGAATCAGACTACTGCTCTAGGAAATACCTGTCCCTCAGTTTGTCAGTAAAGGTGAGGCGTACAAAAGTTGTTGGGGGCTACCCTATGGTACACTCCAACTTAATTTCACAGGACTACTTAACTGTAGTTAACTGTAGTACAACTGAAATCATTAAAATCTAAAAAATCTAAAATCTAAAAATAAAAGCATGCAGAGCAGACTAGGTGAAGGATATGTTAGTTACTGCATTAACAGAAGCTGGCTAAAAACACATACAGAACAACTTCAGTGACAGCAGGAGAAAATGTTTCTAAGGACCTCCAATAGCTCTCCTTATACCAGGTTTTACTCATCATTAGGAGTTAAAAGCCATTTCCAGTAAACAGAAACAATGTTTTCCCAAATACACCAGTCTTTATTTTCCAGTTGAAGGTTCATTTTCAATCATAAATGGACTGAAAGGTATCTTTGAGTGCAATAGGAAACAAAATACAAAATACAACAAAAAAACCCAGAGACTCCAATGATTTGCAGTCATTCATAAAATGTTTTAAAATTCAATAAAAGTTTTAAAATTGCTCAGTAGAATATCATACTTTCCCTTTACAACTGAAGTGCTTCTGTGGGCCAGTAAGTCAGTGTTATCTCACAGAAAATATTTTCTCCTCCGTCAGTTCAAACCTAGCAAATTCCTGCCAAAGCAATGGGATTTTTCAAGAGAATGCTGTGTTTAAATCTGACCACTCGTGTTCAAAACAACAGAAATGAATAAAATACATTGTTATTTTAACAATCCAAAAGAATTAAAGTCCGAGAAAAGGTACATCTGCTCCCTGTCCACATCCACAAAGAACACTGGGGGAGAAGAGTAACTGCTTAGGTGAAGGGCAATATTGGCACAAGGATAAACAGTTGAACGTGAAGTTTAAACTGGGGATTAAAAGAAAGTTTCTAGGAAGTGAAGTTGGTAGGCAGGTTTGCAGGTAGAATAATGGGACAAACAAAATACCTATATACCATTTTATAAAATTATATGCACTATAATTTTAGGATGGAGCTTTCTCAGCTCACGGGAAGTGTAATATCATGTAGGGAATGCAACAGCAGGCAACCTCACTTCCCCAGGAGGGCTCTTCCAGAACTGTGCTCCTAATAAGCAAGCAGCAGTTATTTGAGGATAATACCTACAATCCCTTGGCAATAGAATACATACATACAAATGTCCATGTTTATGTTGCTGTGGAGATAGTGATCACCCTTGCTAGGTCCATGCTTGCTTCACTCCTGCATTATGCTTTTTGCTTGCTCCATTTTGGACTACGTATATTTAGTTCTTCTATATCTTGGCCTGATTACTGTAATACTTTAAATTCCTCATATAATTTAGGTTTCATTTCCTAAATTGCACTCTCATATTCTAGAAAACAGCATAAAACAATTATGCCTGGTTACAACTTGAACTTAGCAAAGGAATCAAGTCTAAATTAGCCCTAGGAGATAAATCCCCTGTCAGGAACTAAAGTGAAGGTATTCATAAATGAGTGGGTCCAGCTCTTCGAGCCACCTGGGAAAATATCATCACATATACTATTTTCCACCCTTCTACTATTACTTGTGGAGTTCTCACCATGTGCTGAAATATGTGACTGTGATTCTGTTGTTGAAACCATCAAGACATTTTTGCCTAGTAAGAATTGACATAGCAATCTTTAAAAAAAAAAGACTCTCCTTCTTCTTTATTATCTTCAAACTGAATACAAAATAGTCTAGACTTAATTAACAACCAATTTCTTTGAATTAGCCTCAGTCAGCTTTTGGAAGGGTGGAAAAGTGAATCCTCCCTAGCTGTTTGCTTTGTAACTGGCTGTTTTTGAGAGTGAACTAATGGAAAAATACTATGGATAGAGACCTGCAACCATTAACACCACTATTTCCCTGATCATGATATCCAGAATATACCATAAATCATCTACATAGGTCTTGGGGTTTATGATTCTCTTAAAACAGCAAATACACCTAGAAATGATGAATCTGAATACAGACTAGGGCAGCATCCCTTAGTCAAGTCACCAGAAAGCCCCACGTATGAAAAGATGAGCATGTTGCAATTGCTTTAATCGTAAATAATCAAAAATCAAAGTCACTAATCAGTCATTATTCCCCCCCTATTTTTTTATCCTAAAGGATACATTATTCCCAAGTCAGCAGTGAGGATTCCTATGGGCTTAACTTTGGATAGGTGAGTAGTCTTATCAGCGTTAAGAGGCCTTAAAAATTTACTGAAATAAGCCACAAATCTTGTCCATATTTTGCATAGTTAAGAGCATTCCAGTCAAACTGTGAGTCCTTCTTTGTACAGTACTGGAGTCTACATTTAAGCTACCAGATTCATTCATACATTTCTAAAAACGTAACTGTTAATTATATTAATAAACCAGAAAAAGTTTTGTGAAGACATAAAAACAAACTAATGAAATAAAAGACAGGTATTGTGCTATGGCTCGGTGGTGAACTCCAGTGCTGATTTTCTCTCCCTCAGCTTGTCTGCAGACTCTGGGGTTTAAGTGATAGGCCAACACTTGCCTTGTCAGCACAGAACTCCCCCAGATCTCTGCACCTGCAGACTAGATTGTCAGCTCTTGCACAGGTGGTAGAAGGAATTCCTTGTGGGAAAGACTGAAAGTGGTCTAATAAATAAATATGTGTCAGCTGGATGAGTGACGACAAAAGAGAGATGCAGTCATCTATAAAGACACAAGTATTATGTAAGGATGTGAATTAAGCTGATAAAAATGGTTAAGACAATAGCAATGGGATAGAATTCAATAATGGAAAATATTAACTGAACCTCAGGGGAAAAACACTTTGTCAGAAGATCTGCTGTCTTGTGGCATTACCTCCTACAAGAACAGTCATTGCCTGGGCCCTTTCTCCGCAAAAAAAAAATGTTAGAAACAATGTTGGAAGGAGCAAAACTATGCTCACAACAATATAATGTTTACTTTGGGCTTGCAACAAAAAGCAGTTCTGATTTTCTGTAGCTTTGACATTCTTCCTCACTGGTGGGAAACATCCCAATCAAACAAACACTTCGCCACAGTGTACAGTAAGGCCTTCATTTTGATTCCCTGAAAGAACAGGAAAAGCATTTCAGCACAAATGAGGAGTGTTCTATTTTGCCATGAGCACAACTAGCTCTTCAACTGTTCAGATAAGGACCTATCTTGAAGCCACTGCTGGTTGTAAATATGTCATAGCTGAGATGAACATCTTGGTAGCCAGAGCAGGTGTCTATTCCCTTGATTTTACCATGCTCAATCTTTTATGCATTTAAAGGGGAAGGAACCATTTATCCTACAGAAGATTTAAAAGATCAAGATCAGTGCAATTAGTTCAGAAGCCTCAAATGTAATCATACAGCTAGAAAGCCAATCAGTTGGTAAGGACAGAAAACTGATGGAAAGACCAAGTAACAGGTAGCAAGTGATTTTGAGATAAAGAAACCAGTTCTCAGATGCAGAAACTGAAGAAGAAAACGTAAGGGAAAAAAGGACAAACCATTCTCCTGATACTCCTGTTATCCAAACTGGAGGTGTTGCCTGATTTGCATTTGAGATGGTAGAGTAGGCTTGGTTTGACTTTAACTAAGAGGAACTTAACATCTCTCTTTCAAATAAACTGAACTATTACAAAATACCATGAAAGGTTGCTTCCATTCTGCCACTTGCTATATCTTTAACTCAGAAAAAAAAAATTTCTTGCACTGGAATGGAGAAGAAACATCAAGTTAGCTCCACCAGGTAGAAAATCTCTTCAGTAGTATCAGACATTATCATGGTGAGCAACGAAACGGATGGCCTGCAGCTGTGATCTCAAATATGTATATATACACAAAAGCTCTAGAGACCATAGCTGATATAAATGAATACTCCATCTAATTAGTTGATTATCTATTTACAAAAGAAATGCTGTGAAGTTTGATGTAATTAAAATCTACATATTTCATAAGTTGTAAGGACACAAAAAGGACAGACTATAAAAAGTAGAATAACCCTGAATGTGCTGCATTCTAGAAAACTTATTTCTCTACATTAACTATTTGGATTTTGAAACAGTAAAGGTCCAAATTCCTTTTATGCTTGACTTTCACAGGAAAATCTGTCAAAATAATTCTGCAATCTATACTCCTAGACTGAATAAGAATACAATCAATTCCTGATCATCATGCATATTCCAAGACAAATACGACTGTTCCTAATTGTTTATTTCTAAGGTTTGCATTTTGATATCACACTAACTTAAGAGCATGATTGTTTGAAGTAAGTAGTTACCAAATAAAAGTGTAATAGTGTGGAGTAGAATGAGACCTCTTTAAATAAAAAGATAATAATAATAATAAAAAAAAAAACACAACAAAAGACAGAATCCAAACAAACAAATCAAAACCCTCACACTTTATTTCTATGTATATTAAGTTCTAAATTCTCTTTTCTAGTGATCCGAATTCAGAACTGTCTATATGGTGATGTGATCCTTCTCCTTTGCAAGTGCTTAAGTCAAAGGAGAATGACGATAAGATATTCCCCCTGCAACCCAGAAGGCTTACAGTCTCTTTGGTAAAGACCGACTTCAAAGAAATAAGAAAACAAGGAGTGGTTTAGGGAGCGATCAGTGCATCAGTACAACTACATAAATGGGCCTCTATCCTTTCTAAATTTTACTTTCAATTATCAGGAAGGTCTGAGCTGTCACACAACGCTCAAGTTACCAGAGAATAACAATCAATGGACCTGGCTGTCCAAGGAAGTTAATAAACCGTTTGTTCTAAGCATCACAACAAGCAGCTCTACTCCACTGAAAAACAATCAGTTTAAAAAGCAAGGGAAGAGCAGATAAACATTATCTACTGTGAACACCAGAAGCTTATTCCATCAACATGAGTCTCTTCAGCATCTATAACTATTTCTGCTGTAAATAACATGGATGTGTGTCAAAACAGAGTCAAAACTTCTTTTAGAATTCAACAGTATTTAGGTCATCTGCACTCTATTGACAGGCACTGAACTCTGAAACTATAATGATGTAGCTCTGCAGCAGTGCATGACTTCCCACTAATGAGGCCCTTTTTCCATGAATAATGAGTATAGACATCAGCTCTGTTGCCAGGTGCATAATATAAACACTATTTAACACACAGCTCTTGGTAAAGCAGTGTGTCTGCTTGCAGAGGCTGAGGTTTTGCACAGTGTGTTCTAATGCTTTAACTCAGGGTGGGAGCAGGCCACTCAAGAAAATAATTTGTTCACATGTTATCGAAATACAATAAGTCAAGTTTGGTCCCAGTCAAAAAAAAAAAAGACAGTGGAGTGGGACCAACAGAAACTGTAGATGGGAAAGCATAAATGAGTTCATTGTTTTATAATCCAATAAATCTTACAACACATGAAGCTGATGAGTTCTAAAATGAGCTGAGACTCCGTGAGATGAGCCTTCTGAGACTCACGAGCTGTAAGAGTCATACTGGTTAAGCCTGTGCTTGTGGAGTCTTCGTGTATACCAGCATATACAAATACCTCTGCTTATATAAGGCAAAGAATTAGATGAAAATGCAAGCAGATAAAGTAAAAAGAGTTTTAGTTAGAAAAATACACATCTGATACATTTATAACCTCAGTTTTGACTAACATCAGATGCTTCTGAGAAAACAAAATTCACCTTGCATAGTTTTATCACCTTCTATAACACAAAGTGCTACCATGATATTGTTTAAAACTAGAGACCAGCTCAGTATGCAAAAGTAGACCTAGCACAGGAGCTTAATCTGAAATTTGGGAAGGCTGATTTAATTCCCTGTTCTGCCATAGGTCTGCTATGTCCCAGAGCTATTATTAGAGAACTACATTAAAGAGTAGGAGGTGTTAAAGTCCCACTGTGCCTGGGGCAGAAAAATAGACATTTCTATTTACTTTCTTTCTAATGTGCCAAAACACGTGGGGAACTACATCTGCATCACATACCAGGTTACCACTTCAACTGCAGATTTTTTCAACCAAACTAAGCATGACCAAGATCTCTAGTAGAGTTGCTACTGCTGCTGGATGGCAGTACTTAAAAGCCCAAGTAACACTTTCATCTTTGCTTAGAATGATTCAACTCCAGAAAGAGCTGAAAACATTCCATGTTGGACTGGTAGCAACAATTGCTAACAGTTGCAAACACTTCCCTTAAAATACCTCAGCTCAGCCATAGGCTGAAATTTGGCAGGTTAACCATGTTAGCAGCAAGTCAGCACTCAACTGCTAACCTCCTTAAAATTTCTCTTAGTTTACTAAGTTATAAAATGTTAGAAGAAAGCAGCTAGTACATATTAAATGGAACCTTTGGCTTTTTTTTTTTTTTCATTTATACCCTCTAAAGATTCTTTGTTCATCAATTGTACTTCTCAGTATTATGATGAACTTACACATTATCCTTTTGCCACAGTTCTGTGTAATTATATGGGGCCAAGCAGTGCAGCTCACAGGGAAAACCTTCTGTTTCTATGGGCTCTTATTCTGTTTGACATTTTGGCACTCAAGCAGAGAAAGCTCAACAAAGAGAAGACATAAGCCACAGAAAAAAAGGGGAAAGTGGAAAAGGTGGTAAGTGAAAAAGAAAAGATGGCTAAGACAGGAACTGTAAAGTGGGTGAGAAGATATATTATGACCATCACTGCCCTGAAAAGCCAACCTGTACAGGTACATCTGCATGGGGTAGAGATGAAATTGAAAGTGAGTAGCACTGGCTGAACAAGGAGCTTCTGGTAGGAACTGGGAGCAAAAGAATGCAGAAACTTGCTGTGCAGAACAGCTGAAGTAGAAAGAAGTTCAGTACACAAATAGGAAAGATCAGCTAAAGACAGAATGAAAAGGATGGCAGGTTTTTCAGAAGAATCAAATAGAGTGGCCAAAGTACTGTGAGTATAGGTTCCAGGGCCCATACTGGTGGTCATATTTAAGGAACACATGAAAATCTGTAAGATCAAATAATGAAAAACATTTTAAAGGCTGCAAGATATAGCTAGAGAGTTAATATCAAGATTTATACTGTTTCACTTAATTCAGTCACTTTCTTTGCATATTATCATCTAGTTTTCAGCTGTGTAACTGGATAATACTAATTTCTTAATCTTCCTTGCCATATTCCAGCGCATAGAACGACACTTTTCTGAGGACCATCCAGGAACAAAACAGGAAATTGATGGCTGCAGCATTCTTGACTCAATTTTTGCAGAACTTACCAAGTGGACAGTGAGTAAACTGTAAGAGTGACATTGCTAAGGATGATTAATGTTGCTCAAGATAACTGGATTCTACTCCTGTTTCTGTCCCAAAGTTTCTACACAATACAAAGAAAACCCATTTAACTTAACAAAGTTTGCCATTTGGTGATTTTGACCCAGTCCATTCTCTGTTTTAGGCTGTAAGAAGAGGTGTGACTTAAACGAAGAAAGTGACACATACTGCACTAGGCCAATGCTTACAGAAATACTGAAAATGAAATGAGAGTGAAAAGTTCACCAAGTCCACTGAGCTTTCCAAGTTTTCCCCCTAAGATATGAATTTTGCTACTCACTGGGCTACGGTGAATGAAATCAATTAATATTTGTAAAGTACTTGTATGCAACTTAGTCAACATTCACGAGAAGTCCACATGGGAACAGATAATCCTGTCTTCAGACAATGTTTGAACAGCATGCAATGAAGAGTTTGCTGAACTTAAACAGTCATTCTTTAAACATCACTGAAGAGCTTCTAGTAAGTGAATTCCATTATTTTGTATAAGGAATAAAGCAGGGTTGGCAGGAAAAAAAATTAATACATAATCTTTGGAATAAGGGCTGTGTAAAAGGATCTAGGAAGCTTGTGTGAATCACCTGAATTACAGTATTTCTTAATTTTTAAAAGCTTGACTAGTGAATAATGCTTTTGTGTGCTTTAAAAAATAGAAAAAAAATACAGATAGAAAAAATAAATGTACACATATATACATATATATGGACTTACCATCATACTTCGCTAAGACTGCCTGGACATCCGCATATGCTTGCAGTTCTAACAAAGCTTCTAGCAGGTTTTCATGGATATTGAACATGCTGAGAAGAGGAAATTCCTTCATCAACTAAAATCAGTAACACATGAAAGGGTTAGATTATTAATATGGAAAATGATTTCTTGCTCAAAATGCACTGAAATAACTAACATTAAGTTAAAACCCCTCTGCTTCCTGTGTTCTTGTCTCTTTTCCTGAGTTCACTATTATCTCAAAAATTTTTGAGCTCTAAATGGACACTGGGTCAGGTTTCTTGACAAGACATGCATAACACACAATTAGTCAAACCCAAGTTCTGCTGTCTGAATGTGCAACTATCATACTATTAACAGGTTTTGTTCTTCAAAATGAAAATGGGTTTTCTTATTGCATTGGATAAGAATCTTCCCCAGAATAACTCTGGTATATCAGTAGTAAGCAATCCAGTACTTCTCTAGCATATCAGTAGCAAAAACAGAAATTACACTGAAGAAAATCAGAACAAAATCAAATGACAGAAGTTTACATACATGCAGCTATATTTATTAAGTGCATTATGATTTGTAATCATGGATACTTTAAAAGACAATTACAATAATGGCCAATACTAGCAGTAAAAATAAAATAAAAAAACAACAATAATATAAAAGGCATAGATTATGCAAATCTAACACTGTGAGTAAAGAATCTGTCTTGCATGGCAAGCTGAATGAAGAGAGTAGTTAAATTAATGTAATCCTCTTCCATGTAAGTGCCTTTAACTTTGTGAAATGTCTGAGAAATATCAAGAATTTGTTCTTAGACATCTTCCATTTCAAAGTCTGCACAGCTCCAAACGACAGGTCATTTTCTACTGCATCTCCTTTTTGAAGCCACACTTACTAGGAGCATCACTTTTACTGCTTACATGATTAAACATATGTATATTTATTATCAGAATGGTTCTCCAAAGAACTGAAATGTTACAAGAGCCTTGCTTCCTCACATCTTCTTTATGGTTGTTCTATTAGTACTGTCTATGTGATGTATGTTATGGATGGCCACAATGCTCCTATTCTTAATGGCTGAAGATGAACCTGTGAAGATGAACCTGCACAGTTTGCAGGCTTTCCTCCTTCTTCAGTCTTCCAAATAATGGACTTACTGCTCGCTTGTCTTTATGAACAATTTTGACCATTAAAAAGTTTGTATACTTGCTCATGAAGAAAAATAAGTGCAGGTGAAAATTCACATAGCTGGATTCCACAGTTATGGATCCAGCACACAGTTTATCTCTTTTCATTCTTGTCCATACTCACCATTGCATATTTAACAGTCGAAACTACTACTTGGCAGGAAAAATCATGACAGAATCTGGTCCTACGTAAAAAGTGATTTAAAGTACAGAATGAACATATTGCAAACAAGCCCCTCCAAGGGATTAAGAAAGATTATCCCTGCTCACTGGGAATGAATAATGGCTGGCAGAACAATCTTCCCTCCATCAGCGAAGAAAAGGGAAGAGCTGCAGCTAGTTACAGATGTACTATGGCCAGTAAAAGTTCCTACTCTGGTTCTCTTTGCTTCTCACTGACATCATTCACTGATTTTTTTCTACTTCGGTTCTGTCAGAGTGATAAACCTCACCTAAGACAGCAGCGGAGTAAAGGTCACCGCTTGGACTAGAAGGCCTCTGAATTTACACGTGTTAACAGGGGTTTCAGCTGGGAAAGGTCGAATGTTAAGAGTCTGAGTCAAAATGAACTCAGTTAAAATTCAAGCTACAGAATTAAAACAACTCTAAATAGCCACTCAACTATTCTAAACTTGACTTTGCACAAATGACAACACAACTGTTATGAAAAAAAATTAAATAAAGTAGAGGATGAGCTCATTATGTCAGTATATAGCTTTTACTGCAAATGATTTTCAGTCATGGTGAAGACCTAGTTTTTGAGAAGCTTCCCAGAAAGTAAAGCCAATTAGATGGAAGCACAGCACGACAGGTCGCGATTCAGGCCTCACGGTGAGAGGAAACGCTGGGGAAGTTAAAAATAAAAAGCCCCAGAGGTGACAGCATCTCCTGCTGGGCGCTGAGGGCAGGCCAAATACCGCGTCACGTTGGGGAGCAATGGAAAGCTGTGGGCCGGCTCCCCGCTCCTCCTTCACAGATAGGGAGCAGGGCTGGCCCATATTCCACACAGAGCATTAAAGACAGGCACGCCATCTGTGAGGGTGAGGTGAGGAAGGCACCCTCAAGTTCCAGAAACCCTCGCAACACTGGGCTTTTCTTTGGACTCCAGTTTGAGGCACACACCTGCCTTTGAACCCAAAGATGTATTTTCTGAGGTGTTACAAACTGGAGGAATTGTGCAGCTTATCAATTTTAATTCTTACTATCCTTGCTGTAACAGGCAAATGTCGACATTTTGGTGGCAACCACTACACTCAGAAGACAAGATAAAGGCTCTACTGTCACTTTTCTCTGCACCTTACTATCTCAAGAGACAGTCACCAAATTCAGCGCTCAAGATTTCTCACCAAAGCCACTGAACACTGCTTAGGACTGAAGATGTCATTCTAACACTTGAGTTAGTTGGACTCTTGGCCAGTATGAAAGAGCTGCACTTCTCTGAGCTAAGCTTGTTTTCATACCATATGAAAACCAACACAGCATGGTCACGAATCCTTAAAATATAGGATGATTAAACAGATATCAAATATCATACTAAATATATGCTCATAAGGATTTTATCTGGAACTTGCATTGGTCAAAATGTTTTCTCTTGTGCATTAACCCATATTCTGTTCCAATTGCTCTGTGAATTTGGGGGGAAATAAATACATCAGTAGTGAAACGCTTATTTGAAAGATTCATTAGCTATACTGCAAATACATACAAATGGTAGCTTTCACAGATAATTCATTATTATTATTATTTATTTTGTAGATAAATAACATTCTGGGAGTGTAAGTTTGCAGAAAAATTCTGGAAATAAGACTGACACAATTGGAGATCTTATCACAAGTCCCAGGGGGGCTGTATTTCCAGACTCACCCCAATCCATATTGCAGGGTGTAGGTTCAGTGATTTTGTGATGGATATGAAAGAATGATGATGACAAAAAGTGCTTTACGGTACGAGGAAATCCCAATCTGATTTACTGGATGAGGAACAAGTTACATCTCCCAAAGAAGACTTTAATGAAGAGGACTCCCTTCCCTGAGAAAATTTCCATCATCAGCATTTTCTCATTTAGATATAATTTTTAAAACATTTTAAAGGAATGTAGCTGTAACTGCTATATCTGTTTTTTTTTCCCTGTGATGACAATAACCTCATGTATCAATTAGCAATGGCACATTATTTGTGTAGGGAACAGCTTTAAGTTATAGTTTATGCCTACGAGTAAGCCATGGGACCTGAGAGAATACAGAGGTGGATAAATGAATGATCTTATACATAACCTGGTGTTGACACATTTATTCTCTATTTGCATTGCGGCTTACAGATGGCCACATATTTTAAGGGCAGTGCACACAACCATTCATTGCTGCTTATGCTCATACATTCACAAACAAATATTTTAAAATCAATGGTTTCAAGTGAATGCATTCATAAATATGGAAAGTAAACGCACTTTAAAACAAAGAAACAGCAACAAACAAGTTCAGTGGAAACAGTGAAATTACTTCAACTTTAGGTCCCATCTGTTACCACCGTGTCTATCTGAAATAGTAAAACCTGTCTCCTAAAAGAGGATTGACTGAAGCTGCCATCTTCCAGGTGTGGCTATCAACCACCACTGAAAACACAAGCACACAGCACAGATAGTATTGTTAATTTCATCAGTACTTTGCATAAGCTGTTTTCTGGTATATGACTTACAATCTGTAAGTGCTGTTAACCAAAGAAAGCAAAAAAGGCAAAAGATCAAGCCATTTTTGAGCAGATGAAAAAGAAACCCTAATTTTCTAGGACTTTATTACCTACGGCTGAAATTTTAGATGTCTTAAACTTTGTCTGAAGCTTGCCCTAGGCTTGAGGCATTTGAGACATGTCACTCCAAATGGACTCAGTGATGTCTAATAGAAAAAAATTATGTTTAAGGTTTTCTCTGGTCAGTTGACCAACATGATCTTTTTCCTTTATTCAGCTACTTTTCCCACAAAAGCTGCAGAAATGTATTATCTTAACATTCTGTTCTGCTCACAAATTTCATTGAATCTGAATGATGGATCAAACATTTCTTTTATAGAAATTGAGATTTGATTATATAAACTTTATTCTCTTAGAACATCAAGCTAAAAATGATCTGGTAAAGAGCGTTGTTGTACACACTCTGATACTGAAGCTATCTGACAGCCAACCAAACACACTAGAGCTCATTTGCCAAGTCGGAGAATGGAGATCAAAAACCCCTGGCCATTCACGTGGCAAGGAGAGAAGAAATGTCAGCAAAGGTTAGCACGCAGAAAGGCTCCAGTTCACATTAACTTTGGGGTGGAATAGTTATAAAATTCAGCTGATATTCAACTTCTAATTTGGCAAATGCAAAATTAGCTCTAGTGTCCCAAAATATTTATGGACAATGTGTCTTTTGTTTGAAATAGGATCAGACATTAAAGAGAAAAATATCTTACCCACTATGTAAACTCTAAGGAAATGTGCTAGAACATGAGGCCTGTATGTTCTCTCTTAACTGGAGGATAAAAGACTTCAGAGTAAGACTCCAGCACGTTGAGGAATATTATTATGAAAATGCTTTTACTTGAACTATGTAGTAAAAATGCACATTCCAGGAATTAAGAGAACTTTAAAGGCAGATGTGGCACGAAACCAGAAGAGCAGAAGTTGCTCCAGATGTACATTTACTACTAAATAATCACATTGCATAAAAGCAGTATGAGAAACTAATAATTTTTGTTACATCAACCATCAGCATAAAGCATGAAAATGAAGTCATCACTCATAGCCCTCTTCAGAAAAAAACACTTCATTGACATCATCCTCGAGTACTTTGCAGAAATTTTCATAATTTTAGACTCTGAAATGAAATTAAAAGAAGGAAATGATCTAGTAGCTCAAAAACAGGCTAGGAGATTCTGGA